TGTATATATATATATAATGTAAATGTAGAATTGTAAATGTTATGGCAAAGGGCTAATCGGACGATCATTCAGTGGCTGACAGAAGTTAGCACAATATGACTTGTATATTACAACTTCTTCTTTTGAGTTTTATGGCGGCAAACGAAAGGTGCATTCCCGCCGCCTACTGGGCTGGAGTGTGGACCATTGATGGAATAGGAAGAACTAAATAAAAAAATAACATTATATAATAATAAAAAATGTATATTGAAACTTATTTATATTAAAATCTTTAAAGCACTAATCTGATTATTGCTGACCTTGTGTGTAACCACAGATGTATGGATGTATATCATTATATAAAATGTTTTACTGAGTATAGTTTTGTATAATTTTTGCATAATATAAAGACAATTCAGTATCCTCATGAAATTTTTATAAAATGAATTGGTCATTTTGGTTTAATGTGGCATGCAAAAGATGCATGAAACTACTTGAAATAATTTACTATCAGTAATGCTTTGACTTATGATGTGATGCGGGAGGGCCAATTGAAAAATTCTGATCCCTATTATTACTGTTGTTATTTAATGATGTGTTCTAATATATTTGTAAGTCTGGGTTAAGTTTTAAAATACGTTTAAGGTCCATTTATTATCTTCACATTATTGTCAGGAGTCAAATATGATGTTAAAACAAGACAAAATAAAAAAATTAATTTATAAGGCTTAGATTTATATTTAGATATGCAGTAAAATGTTTTATTTTAACTTTTATTAAACCTCTTTAAAAACAGTTATATATCAAGATATATTAACAAAAATCAATAATAAATACAGAAATATAAAAATATATACAAGATATATATACTGCAAGCAATTTAGAGTTTTAAGGCACTCTTAAGGTTTTATTTCAATCATTTAAGGATTGAAATAAAAGCATTTTTAAATGCCTTAAAACTTTTGAGCAACTTTAACAAATCTAAAGTTGTGTAAATAAATTGTACCTATAATCAAACTATAATTAAACAAATACTGCAGAAAGATGAGCCTTGAGGACGTGGCAGTTCTAACCCAATGACATAATCACGTTTGGATTGAAGCGGACCAATAGCCTAGCGACTCAGACGACGTCTGCACGGGCGGTCCTGAGTGAAATTCTCAATCTGATTGGTCCGTTAAACGAGGTCTGAGCGTTATCTCCAATCTGATTGGTCAGTTGAGAGGGCCCTCCAAAGGAAGTGTCTCCCAATTTCCCAAACTAGTTTGACATCCGGAGTTATTGAGATCAGTCGGGCGGTGAGAAACGCTACAAAATTCACCAGGTAAAGTTGCAATTTTGCAATAAAACACAGAACCGTTCATTCATATGTTCTCTGATATGCAGTGTTATGCTAAGCTATTTTATTTATGTCGTTTGAGAGTTGCGGGCATTTGCACGAGGCTTAATGTGTGGAATTTTAAATGATGTTTGCATGTCTAAATACTGGGGATATTCATTCAAAAAATGCAATATAACACTTTATTACACTAGTATCAGGGTTGTGTGTGTGTGTGTGTGTGTGTGTGTGTGTGTGTGTGTGTGTGTGTGTGTGTGTGTGTGTGTGTGTGTGTGTGTGTGTGTGTGTGTGTGTGTGTGTGTGTGTGTGTGTGTGGGT